TGTCGATTCCAAAATAACCTTTATGATAAGTGTCAAGAAAAGAGGCAGCTATCTCCCTTAAATAAACAGCCCCAGCACACACAGCCCAGCCTTGTAAACAGTTGCTATCTCACTAATTTGGTGATGTATAATTTCCTCACTTAGAGTATCGTAGCAATAATGTGCAAAGAACCAATAGGCAAGTGGACAGTGCCAATATGCTTGGTCCAAAGGTAAACAAAAATGAATACATAATTAAAATCTCACTGAGGCCAAAGTTTGAATAAGGCAGATAAGGCAGATAAAATGGTCACAGGAGGAGGAAAGGTGAGCCGGCACTGGATGTGAGGCTACGCCGTTCTCCCCGTAGCAAAGTAAAACACTGATCTTAACTCAGCAAGGCATCTTAATTGCATTCACAAGCAGCTCCAGAGCTGCATGGTCCCCAGATGATGGCTGATGTGAGCTGACTGGAAGATGAACTTCCTGGGCTGAGAGGAGGCTGGGTGTTGCTGGATGCGTGCGACGGTGGGGGGACTACGTCTAAGTGTGTCCCATCTCTCATTGTGGTGTGTGTTTCGTCCTTGTGTGCATGTAATCACCTGTGTACATATGTGCGTTTCTACTAGTGTGTGTGTGTGTGTGTGTGTGTGTGTGTGTGTGTGTGTGTGTGTGTGTGTGTGTGTGTGTGTGTGCGCGCATGTGTTTGCATGAGAGAGACAGAGAGACAGAGAGAGAGAGAGAGAATGAGACCGGTAAAGGCCAGTGAGGTGGAAGGAAGCGTTAAAAAGATGTTTGACATGAGGAAAGAGGCACGTGCTCAGTATGGCAGCTGCTGGCCCGACAGATCTATCTGTGACCCCAAACTTCGATCTCAACCAAAGCTTTCAATGCATGTGGCGACTGCTTCATCTGCTTCTTATTTTTTGAACTACAAAAACAGCACTGCCTTGAGAGTCACAGTCGTCTCAGTTCTCAGTTCATGGCATGCTAAGCTGGGAAGAAAATATCAAATTTATCATTTAAGTGGATGGCATAGGTAACAGCAGTAACCTTAAAAACAGGTTGGGATATGTGGAAATGATAACTTCCCTTTGATATTAATGTGTTTTTAAGTCGTGCGCTGCCTTTAAATGGTGTTCAATCATGTTTGCAATGAGAGAGTCCGTCCCTGCTGAGCTCCGCACTAGCTTCTCGTGGCTGATATTCATCAAGACAGCCATCGATTTTAATGACTTGGTCAACAAACACACGCCGACTCTGCTCTCAGCATCTCCCTCTCTCTCATGTTCACCCTCTCTCTGTATCTATCTCTTCTTCTCTCGCCTCCCCGTGTCCTGTTTTTGTTGTTGTTGTTGTTTTTATTGTTCTTTTAAACAAATTGTCAGTCATCCTGTATTCCCACATTTTACAAAATGTGCTGACGGCTGTGATTGCTGTGGCCCGAGCTGCAGATGCGGATAGATTATTTAAGCGGTGGAAAGCTTGGTGAAATTTTGTTTTCATCTGCAGTTTAGAGAAACAAAGAGAAGACAGTAAAAAAAATAAAAAATGTGCAAGGGAGTGGGTGGTGTGAAGGAAATTAACAATCGGCAAGAAGGTGTGGAGTTTGATTTGTACACTTTGACAGGCAGGTATTATGAAAAACCCTGCTGTGGATTGAGAAAACCAGGTAGGCAGATCACAGCCTGGTGACTGGCATATCTCAGTAGGTGATGAGGTTAAAGCTGCCTTCAAGCTGCTCTATGTGAATCTTCACACACGCACACAAAAATAAGGCATTCACACAAACATATACAAATACACATATTACATACTGTAAACAGAAATACAGACAACTACTTAGACAGACAGACACACATACAGACATACACCCACAGAGAGAGGCACACACAGTTGTTGATGTGCCCACTGATGCAGAGCGAAGACAAATTGCTCCCTTTGAAGGCAAAGCCAAATCAAACACGGAGTGTGATTTCTGTCACTGTGGTGTTTGGCTTTAAGGCTGTGAGGCTGACATCTGACAAAACATCCATGCAGTCACACCCAAGAAGTTGTGCATGCATGCCACCGCACACTCAAACCCACATTTGTACATACAAAAACACGCACGCACGCACGCACGCACACACGCACGCACACATGCACGCACACACGCACACATGCACACACACACAGCTGCCTGTTGTGCAGCTGGATTAAGGAGGAAGAGCTCTGTCAGCTCCTCCAAGATCCAGGCCTTTGCCATCAAAAAGCCACAAAACCTCCTCTGCACATCAGCGCTTACTAGCATTGTGTCTAGAGGCTAAAGCTTTTTTTTTAATGCAGCAACACAATCACATAAGTAGTGGCTTTAGTATTTAAACTGTTTGTCCAATAATCACTTCGCAAAACCCTCTGATGTGAGATGCATGACCAGGATTTGGCCGTAGCGAGTGCATTACACGTTTAAATGAACACCAGAACAGTGAGCACATTCACTAAAGTTAAAGCCTAAATTTGCTTGATATATGTTTCTTTCTTTTCTTTTTTTTTTTTTTTTTTACCTCTGTCAGGATGATAATTCATCGGCAATTCAAGCAGCGTCTTCCACATGTCAGTCAGTGGCACAGCATGAGTTTGGGCACCTCATTTATTCTCTTTTTTGGCTTTTACCCCAGAAGCTCTGACTAGGTTCACCCTGTCTGAGTGAATTTGTATCTAGCTTGTGGGTGTGCACGAGGGTTTTTATTGCACTTTACCAATCTAAATTTCCTTGAGGACAAAATAAAGCCTGTGTGTGTGTGTGTGTATGAGAGAGAGAGAAAGAAAGAGAGAGAGAGAAGCAACAGAACAAGAAATATAGCATGCCTGTCTTTCTGTATTGACTTCATTTAGTTTCATGCCAGATATGTGTAACCCACAATCTCTGCCCTGGGATCAGATTTGCCAACCCTCTTATCCTCAACTCAGCCATTAGGGGGCTGTAGAAACACTGAACTCTAACCTTTAGCTGCATTCCTTTCGCTTCACAAACTACTTTTATTTTGTTTTTTGTCGAAGCAGAAAAAGAAAAGTGCCAACAGCACGGCCAAGATAACTGTAACGGAAGCGAGCCAGAATGGCAAGGCTGTAAGAGCTGAGCCTCCATATTTTACCACTATGCCGCTACAGCAAGACAGTAGGTACCCTTGCCATATTGATATGCAGTGTTAATTGATTAAAAAGAGAATTCGTGAGACCTGCAGGGACTTGGGATTTGTGACCTCTCGGACCGAGTGAGACAGCAGAGGGAAGGGCGAGGTAGCAAGAAAAGAGATGGGAAGTAACAGAGAGAGATAATCAGAAAGACAGAAAAGCACAGACAGAACAACAGCAGTGGGTAGAGAGTGAGGGGCAGGCCAGTCAGGGTGATATCGCGGTGATTACAGCAGCAAAGTTAAGTATTTCTGTCAGTGGAGAGGTCTGCCTCACCACTCAGGAGGAGGCTGAAGAGGGCATCATGGCCACTAATTTACTGGTGCTCAACATTTTACCTATATCCACTGTCCATGTGACATGATCCTAATGACATGCTTACTGTACTAACTACTATTCAATGCAAAGCCGGGATGAAAAACTGCTAAAATGGATGAGGAGATGTGATATTCAAGTGCCTCCATTTGCAGTTTTACCTTCATAAGGGCCTAGACAAGATTTCCGCTGTGTATAATGTCTATAAGTTGACACAAGGACGTTTTACGTTTGGCATTTGAAATACAGTAGCTGACAAACCATGTCTATACAACCTGAATATATTGACTTTATCATAACATAAGTCACAGTAACAATGTTTCCATTGCTGGTTTCCAGTAATCCTAGTGTTTTCCTTTGCTGTAAAATGCAGCTGTATAGATACTGTAATTCCAATTAAACTCTAGCTTCTTTGGCCTTTTAGAAGAAGGTCAATAAATTTTGACATGTACATGGTTAATGGATCACGACAGTCTATTCAACACAGAAGCTAAGAAGCTCTCATTCAATAGAGACCGGACTAAGCCGACGAGCCCGTCTGATTATCCATTTCCAATTCTACCTGCAGTCTCATTTCAATGTATCGCAGGCGGCCTCCAGAATAATTGCTTTTTTGCAATCTACAAGTTCATTTGCACACATTTTATTGATCAAAATGAGTCAGGAAAAAGAAAACAATCTAAACCTAAATTAAAAGCTTCATTAAATGTGAAAATTGGTCGGGGAATTGCGAACATCTGTTTCTAGCGCCCTGCGTCATAAACTCCAAGGTTAAACCAAACACCAATTTACGGCTTGCAGACTCAGGCATGAGTCGGAGCTGTGAAGCACCTTCACAAACACAGCACAAGTCAACAAGGCTTCAAACAATTTCGAGAGAGATGCGAGGGCAGGGACTGAAAGCTCTTCCTGCCTTATGTTTAGTAGGCCTTGTGAGTACTGAAACTAACAGCGGTAAAAAGATTAACTTGACACACTTTTAACCAATTTCAGAGCACAACAGTAGAGATGCTGTTGTATAGTAGTTTGAGATCAGTACAACATGTTTCTCTTTCCAAAGTATCCACCATAGGCAGTATTACAGGATTTTAGATGCAGCCATCTCAGTGCTGCTTTAGGTGCACCTCCGTTCTCTGTGACCTTGGAGCAGCTTTGAAGTGAATTTGCTCTGGTTGCAAGTTGTATTTTAACAACCCCTTGCTTGAGTGTTTGCAGCCTTGTTTATGACTGTTGGCATCTGATACTGCTCTGGTATACAGACAGAGGGCAGAGGCCTGTGCGTTTCATTCCAGCACGGCCCCACATAAGGGGAGGTCACGAGGAATAGAGAGCTAAGAGTACATTGATTTAATACCTAACACCTCCCTGGCTTGAATTCACTTCTGAGCTTATGTTGCCAGCTGAACAGATCTGCTTTGATTTAGCCTTTCAAAGTTATTCCTGACAGGTTCCATATCTGGAAGAGTGATTCTAAAAAAACCTGAAGTCCGCCTTTGCAGAGCACATCAGCAGAGGCTGTCTGTGCTTACCTTTAGGGTGTCCTGGGTCACTGAACTCGTACTTCCCCATCCCGACTGTCCGCAGCATTTGCAGCCCATTAGGACCATCCTGATTGTCTGCTGCGGTGGGCTGGCCCTGCGCTGCTGCTGCCGCTGCCGCTGCCGCCGCCTGTCCATTGGTGAGAGGCAGAGCGGGGTGCTGGATGAGGCCGGGGTGAGAGGTTAAGTGGCCATTGCCCATCACGCTGTGAGGGTTTGGGTGAACCACCTGGTTGGCCTGGGCAGTAAGGGCGGACGGTGCAACTGTGGGTTGAGCGGAAGGGTATGGAGGCTGGTTGGGCATGCTCAGCACCATAGAGGGCGGCTGCTGGGTCGATTGTGGCGTTAGCTGGAAGTGGGCAGTCATGAGAGGGTGCTGCGGGGGTATTGGTGTCTGGATGGATGGGGTTACTCCAATGATGGGTGACTGTGCAGTCACGCTGTGGCTGTAGGAGGGCGGCTGGGGTAGGCCATAGGTGTGGGGCAAGAGGCTGGGTTGGCTCACCGCTGCTACTGGTGCAGCCCAGGTCGGACCTACAGACAAAACAGATAAGATATTGATCAATTGTATATCCAGCTTTTATACTATAACCACTTTTCAATGTTTTTCTATACTGCAAACTGATTTGCTGTGTTTTGGTAATCCAGAGGCAAAGCTGGAAACAAGGGCAAAGTGCTGATTTTAAGTCTTGCATTAGATGATCAAATAGAGACAGAAAAACAGCATGAGAAGACAGATTCCAGCTTGAGTCTGTTCCTCTCCACACCACAACTGTGAGTGTGCCGCTCTGCTTCAGTCCAAGTTTGTTTTTGACTTGAGACTTGATATCAAACACAAAATATCTGAAGCAATGTACAGATCTGTGCCCAAGATCAACACTATAATAAGATTAAGAGATTTATTTTGCTACAAGATGAACAAATACTTTTCTGAATGTGAAAGCATACATGCTCAGTGTATGAGGCAGTCGACACTATTATCTGTGTAGGAGTCTGTGTTTACCCAGACAGTGGGAGCCAATCATTTCTCTACCCTGAGGCGCTATAGATGCTATGGCTGTGCTGGGAAGACACAGCCATATTGGGCTTGAACGCTGCCTTCCTCCCTCCCTCACCCATTCGCTTCCACTCCCTCATCTCTAGCTCCTCCTGCCATGGTCTAAGCTCCAAAAATAGCCGACAAGTCTGCCAAGGGGCCAAAGGCTAAATCACAGCATGCAAAAAACCAAAGAAAAGAAAAAAGAAGCCCAAATTATTCATGATACTAGGCCTGCTGATATAATAGCCCGGGCAGAGAGGGATGGAGAGGGAAGGCAAGATAAAGACAGACAGCGAGAAGAAAAGAAAGAAAAGAGAAGAGGGTGAGAATATAAGACTCCAGAGGAGAGGCCAGTTCTGTTCATAATTCACATGTCATTGAGCTAATCGGCACAAACACTGTATTTAATTTCCCTTCTTTTGTATCTCAAAAGGATAAAAGGCTCCTAATCAAATGGGTTAGTATAATAATTCCACATCTTAAAAAGTTTCAAGGTTTTAATGGAGTGATAGCACTGATACCAAATTCGAGGCTATTGATTAGTATCTTCCACTGCACTACTTTTACTCTCCTGTATTATTTTATTTTATTTTATACTTATCCCTTTTAATGGTATTTAAATGTCTTTTTATTTTGCCTTATGTTCTTTTTCCATTTTAACTTGATGTTTTTTATGTTTTATGTATAGGCCAAGGTTAAGGTTACTTTATTGTCTCCCATACAAATAAATTGTCTTGGATTAAGTAACTGCTGCTTTAGCCCAGACATCACAGTAAATCCACATTAAATATAAACACGTGCAAACATTATCCTAGGATAAAACTAAAATGTAACTAAAATAAAACAAAAATTTGTCAGAAAATCAGTTGAAAACTTACAAAGAAGGCATACTTCTCATAACATACACATCTTCATACATAATTTACAAGCAACAACACCTCTCACTTTACATGTTATCTCCTGTCTGTACTCTAAGATTTGCTCATTAATAAGTTTGACCGACAGAGGAATGAATGAATGCTTATAACAATTGTGCTTACAAAAACAGACCTTGTACAGTACCTCCTTCCAGAGTTCATTAGCACATTAGTTCATTAGCATGTAAAGCACTCTGAATTGCTTCTTGAATTGTTGCAATATACTATACTGTACTAATAAAATAATTTGATATATACGCAACTAATCTGGCATATTTTCTTAAGTCTAAAGAAATGCATCAAAAAAAGAACTATATTCATACAAAGCAACTGAAGTTGAAACAAAACTTTATTTTTCAAAGACCAACTTTCTTTAACAGACACAACAGTAAAGTTTCTGTTGAAAGAAACCGTTGATTAATTCTGGCACAGTTGGCAGAGAACTTTCTGGCAACACAGTTCAGTGAAGTGTGGAGAGGAGCTGGCTTCGTTGCAAACGCCAGTCACAGTTTGGAATAGCGCACACACGCGAATCAATATGCAACACTATGCTCGGATTTGAGTGTCATATGCGACAGCGTGCTAGGTCGGTGACATCTCACTCTCCTCACGCTTCACTCCAAGCTGTAGTGTGGGCGTGGGAGCTGCGGTGGTGGGAGGAGGGTGAGCAAAGCCTCATTCACTTACACACAATAATAAGATCTCTGGAGCCATGGTCAGTTCAGTTAGACCCTCAGTGCACAGCTGGAGGCTGTGGCTGCACAGCATGGGGGTGTGGGCGACGGTGGGGGGGCAGAGCACCGCAAGAGGCAGAAACATCCAAACTGCATCCTTTCATCGTGAGAGCACCTCGAATGGTTTCTGCTACAGAAACATTCCTCTTGGGTAGATGATCAAACTGTTTAATAATTAATGCATGAACCAATCTACATGTAAGATATGTGAATTTATATTAGGAGGCGAGTGGTACAGGCAGTAGCAAGGGCTGAACCATGTTTGGTGCATGATGCTTTGCTACCACACAGTCGAGCAGCTGCCGACAATCTGAATTTGTTGAGCTGGAATTTCCATTGGAACTCTGTGCCAGTATTATTCTTAAATGAGACATGATGAGCAGGAGGCAGAGGCCAGCAGAGCAATGGAAGGAAATTAACTGCTCTAGGGCAGAGCCATTCTGGGCGAGTTCATTACAATAAGAGTAAAAAACTTCAATGCTGGCTTAACTCGTTAATGTCGAGACTGCGCACTGTGCTGCGATGCCACTATTGCTGTTTTAAAGGGGCATGAATAGAATAAGGTCGACATCTAAATTAGACCTGGTGGAGATCATTTGGAGGACTTTCAGAGTCTCACTACATAGGTTTAATTTAGACTAAATCAGCTTCAGTTAGTGACACAATAACATTAACAAGGACAATAAAATGAGAGCAGAGTGAAAGTGGTGGGAGACTGGAAGGCTTGTGAAGGTACAATATGGACTTTTCTAGCTTTTTTTTAACTTCTTGATATCATATTGACATTTGTATAATAACATGCATAATTACGCTGGTTTGTGTAAAGATGGTTTTTGTGGGTGTTAATTATGCATGATTGTGTATGTAGAGTATGCATGTTGTGGAGGCAAGCATGTATTTTATGTAGGGCAAGGCAGCCAAGATGTCTCATTAGCATTGGATGCAAGTGGAGCTGGCCAGAACCGTCTGGGGTGTAGCACATACACCCCACACTGCAGTGTGCGGGTGTATCGATGATGTAAAGATTACATTACTGTAAACTCACTGTGTGAATGTGTCTTTCAGCACGTGTGTGTGTGATTCATTACCGGTAGGCTCACTGTCTCGATGTTGCTTGGCAGGGGGCTCATCTGTATCCCAGGGTGTGAGCTGGTTGATGGGCGTCTGTCCCCACCTCACCCCTGGAGCCAGCAGCAGTCCTGGGGTCTGACTGTCTCCAGGAGACAGACCGGAGACCTGCAGCACAGCAATGAAAAACAACATCACTGATTAGAGCATCATATGAAAAAAAACTAAAACGAAAGAATTGTGCGAGAATTACAACCAAACCACTTCACACCCCCTTATCTTTAGATCCCATACTACGTAGCTTGTCTGTAAATGACCCTGAAATAAATTTTAGCGACAACTATGGTTTAAATACAATATTTCATTGTATAGCTTGAATGAAAAAATAAAGAAATCATAGCCATCCAACTGTTTTTTTGTCTTGAAGTGAGCTGTGATGATGAAGTATGGCATACAATTAGCAGTGAGTGAGTACTGATTACAGCCTATATATAATGGGAACAAGGGAAATAAAATCTTGTTCACAGCCTCAAGTGTCTTTGCAGAAAGACCAATATTTCTCTTTTTATATACTAATAACAATTAACTTTCTAGTGTGGGCTACATCCAAATTCAGATCATTTCCTATGAGACTGCGTATATCTTAATTTTGCAATGAATTAAACATTGTGTTCAGTCAAGTGAGATAATAGAATTCTGAACACAAATACGACAAATAGAGTAAATAGAGAGAAAACCTTTTGCAGGGATGACAGAAAAGAAAAATGTAATTTCAAAAAAGAGAATGAAAAGCTTGGTGACAATGTGTGTATGGAGGTAAGACCAATGCAACTTCACCAAACCAAACTAAGAATTCCTTGAGCCTCTCTTTGCACCCACATCTCTAATATTTTGCTCTGGTAGGGGAGTAAGAAATGTTATCAGGCAAGCCCAAGCTGATGAAAACACAGGGTCAATCACCACTGGACCCCTGAGCAATATTCGCCTCTCCCTATCTGCAGTTTGGACGCTTGGTCTGACAACCAGGCAGGGAGAGGGCAGAGCCAAGCCTGATTCCCCTGCTCGCCCCAGCCAGCCTCCTGAGTTAATAGAAAAGACCTGGTCACCAGGCCCCTCCTGCGTCCTTTCCTGGCTGATCCCCTCCATCCCTCAATTCCATTATCCTCCCTGACCCGGCGTCCACTTCATCAAGCATGCCATCATGCATTCCAACAAACCCTGACAAAACGCAGGACTGACCGCATGGCGACAAAAATGCAGTCCAAACTGTTTGGTTCACAGCGAATGAATGTGTAGCTTTACATATCGGATCGATCCCATTTCAGGAAATTCACCCTCCCTGCTTTAAGATGGATTTATCACAGTTTTATAGGGCCTTTAACACTTGAAGACATTACATGGTATCGATGCAGCACAACATCTGCTCTGTAATAAACAACTTCACAATGGCAGACAAGTTCAATGAGTGTCACTTACTTGATAAATCCATACTGAAAGTTATCTGACAGTTAGTAAGTGCTGGGGGCAAAAGAGAAAAAAAACAGCGAAGGGAAACATCTGAAGGCAAAGTAGAAAACAGAGTGATGGAGTGAGAGAATGAAGCTCGGTTTAGGGGGGAGACAGGCTGTCAGGTCTTTTTGTCCAGCTCAACCTGTCGACTTCAGACAAGAGAAAACTGAAATGGTTTACTCAGAGAATGCCCTAAGCGCTCAATTTCATCTGAGAGCCCTGGAGACTTAGGGAGGGAAAATTCTGACCATTTTCAAGGTGAGGAGTTGCTTTCTATAGCCCACTATTTGTTTTAATGAGCGTTTTTCCTCCTCCGCTCTGTGTGCTTTACTGTATTCCTCTCCAGCCATGCTTTACCTTCCGCTCTATACAGGCAACTCCTCATTAACTTGCAGCATTGACTCTCTTACTTTCCTTTAGCCCTGCACCTGCCTCATAATATTCTCTCATTAATACTCCCACCCATTTACCCAAAACAGAGGAGAAAAAAAAACAGGAAAAATCTCTTCTGCTGAAAGGCAATCCATCTGTCACAGTTTTAGAGCACCAGAAAAAAAAAAAAGGTTCTTAGTCAGCGCCATCACATTGACAGTATATCAGCTAGGCTCAGGAACAATCCTGACTTGAAAATGATCAAGGTTAGATAGAAAATACACACACACACACAGAGGAAAACACAAGTGTGTATGCACACACACAGCAGGTGAAAATACATGTGCACGCGTACACACACACACACACACACACACACACACACACACACACACACACACACACACACACACACACACACACACACACACACACACACACACACACACACACACACACACACACACACACACACGAGCCAGGAGATATCAGACAAGATGTTTATTAAGACGGTAGACTTGCTGCAGGTAGGCAGGAAGGTACTGCAGGTTCTGGGACAGCGCCTGCCATTTTCTCTCAATTTTATTTGCTCTCCCTATTTCCAGCCCCCTCCTCCCTGGCCGCCCATTATCACTGGGCAGCAGATGGTTTCCTCTGACTCGACAAAAAACCATGCTGGAGTACAGGAGGGGAGCCAGATAAATAATTTTTGAGTCGTGCCAAGCCATTCTATGTTTGTCGTCAAGCTGGCTGGGGAGGGGTTATTTTGTACCGTAGGCAACATCCGTGCATATGGACCACATACTGTAAATGTGGAATGTAGCACTTAAACACAGATGCACACAAAGGTGCAGTCACGTTTGAGCACACATGCATACCTATGCATACTGTATATAACTGCCTGTACACATAAAAGATGTTCTTCTTAACCAGCTGAACTTTGAGTTTTATGTCTGCACACAAGCAATTATGTGCAGAATTTTCATTATACATTAATCTGTTAAATACTTTGTCAGTTAATTGTGGTATATAAAACGATTAAAAGTTCCCAAATACAACAATGACTTATTTACAATGCTTACAATTCTACACCAAAAAATATTCAGTATACATCTGCATAAATCAAATGCAGAGAGCCTGAAATATGCAAATTATTTCTGACATTTTTCGATGAAAAATTACTAAATATATCTAATAGATTAATTGATTGTTTCAGGTCAAGCGCAAAACATAAGGTCAGTCATGTAGACTTAAGCAGCATTTTATATTTGCAACTTGCTTGACCTTTCTGTTATCAAAAATTGCAGTAATGTTATATATTTAACATTTAAAAAAAAATAAAAAATGTTGCCTGTCCATTTTCATCCAAATTGCCCTGTAAAGCCTTTCTCAGAATTTGAAGTAGCAATCCATCTGCCCCTACTGCACAATCACACATGCAGATACACATGAGAACACACATGCATGCACAGCAAAAGCTAGAAGGATCTTCACCCTTTCTCAAACCTCTGAATGTTGCAGACATGTCAGAATCGGTGTATTGAAGAGAGGCAGATAAAATCAAGACGCATCAGGCCTAAATATATACTTGTCCTCCTCCGTCCGGGCAGCGGAGACAGCAGTCTGATTCTGGCTGGCGTATCAGCTATTTTCTTGGACATGGCAAACACTGACATCTGTCATCATGTACGCTCTACTATCTCACAATAGTAGGCAGCATTAATGTGCCTACCAGAACCTCTTGCCGCTGGCCACCATCTGCTGTGGGCACACATAAGGGGGGCCTTGTGGTGAACCAGGGCTCTGGGCTTTGATTGCTTTTGACTCATCCACAACATCCACATCCAAATAAACAGAAAGCGTTTGCTCATGGCTTTGTGTTTGCCTTTGCATTTCGTTCGAGCCAGCCCTTGTTTGAGTGAGGTATTGCACCAGTTCAATCCCGTAATAACACGGGGTAGGTAGGACACCGGGCTTCCACAGAAAACTACCACCATGAACATTCTGTATAAGCTCCAGCTCTTGGTACCTATTGTGCTCATGGTATGGGCCGGTATACCTAAGCCTCAACATATAGTTCTCCCATCCAGTTAAGAGATGGCTTTAGTTTCCCCAGAGAAATTACTTTATTGCTCGACTCGGGCCGAAATAGCAAGAGAGAGCGAGAGAAGGAGAAAGAGATGAGTATGTCTATAACACCCAGGTCCCATTGGGGTAAACAACGTTACAGCACACACTGATCAAATCAACTAACTGCTATGAGATTTAATAACAGGTCTGGATGAAAAAAAGGTGTGCTGTTGTGAGAGCAAAGCTGGTTTTGAAGAAAAAAAAAAAAGAGAGGATGGTTGAGGGAGGGGTTGGGCCTTAAATGGAGAAAGGCGCTCACACAAACACACACGTAGCAGGTCAGTAACAAAACCACAGTAAAAAGCTAATCTCATGAAATGTCATTAGCACAACTGCCAGACACAATGAGATAGCAGTGTGCAGGCCAGTGCTACACCGGTTGATTATGTTCTACCTTTTAAGGTTCAGTGTTCCTCTGGTGGCAAAGCTCTTTACACACAAGAGGAAAATAACAGTCCGCAGGCGAGGAGGAGGTTCACTGTTGTGTGATATCACTCAGCTGGCATGGTAATCAGGCCTGTTAATGTGCAGTTGTTATCATGATAGCTTTATCATTTAATCTATTCCAAAAGGATTCAGGAAACGCTCCTGGATTTCTGGTGGTCCAGTACGGAGCTGCCATTATGGTTTAATTTAAATGCATCCGAGAAAATACACCTCCACAATCAGCTGGCTATCTCTGGGGAGATGCATGTACACAAATTTAATTCTAATCAAAATTTCAATAACAGCGGTCACTGCTGTGCTCTGCTATATCGTGTGCAACCCGTAAAATAATGTCACATTGTAATTCCACACCACGAACAAATCATAAAAAAACAGTATGTGTGGGCAAGGAAATGAAATTCAACTCCGACAGAATGGCTTTTTCTTCCCTTTGGCCAGGCACGGACAGACACAGCGAATTTGGCTGAAATGTGGAGGGTGATGGAAATAATGGCTTTCCTCAGAGAAAAGAAGCAGAAAGAACGGCAGCGAAGGAGGGAGTGAAAGATTGAGAAGCAGAGTAAGACAAACCCATCCATCACATAGCCTTGTATCATTGCCTTTGACAGATCATTTTCAGTTTTTCTAAAATGGAGAGGAAAAAAAAACTCCTTTTACTCCTCCTGCTCCGTCCAAAAGCTCCAACCAAGTGTGGTCCAAAACTGACCACG